AAGGGCTTTAAATGGTCTCTCAGTCCAGTTCTGAAGCCTACACAAACATGAGGAAGACTTCAGATTTGACAGCTGTCCTAAAGGCGACCATCGACACATTGCACAAGGAGGGAAAGACACAAAAGGTTATTGCTGAAGAGGCTGGCTGTTCTCAGAGCTCTGTGTCCAAACACATTAATAGAGAGGCAAAGGGAAGGAAAGACTGTGGTCAGACAAAGTGTACAAGCGATTAGGGCTGGGTACAGAACATCGGTTCTTTTATGGTACCGACCGAAATGCTACAGGGTATCGAAACATGCCTCGTCTTTCGGTACAAAGTTTCGGTGATTGGCTGTAACACTTAACATGATTGCATCATCCAGGAAAAATACACAGGTGGTCACGTCTACAGCCAGGGTTCATGTGTAGCTGTTGTGAACTGGTTGCGAGCGTCGTGAAACCCCTTTAAAATGCCCCCCAGGTCAAAAGTGCGGCTTCACTTTATTAAGACTGATGCCAATAGTGCGAAACGCAATACATCGTGCACGGAAACAATTTAAGAGCAGAAAGTTGCTCGGTGTTTGACTGCAAGAAGAGCGGACCGCAGCCGGCGCAACCATCCTCCTCTCAGCAGCCCGTGGGCAGTGCAAAGAAAGAGCGGAGTGAATCATGCTGCTTTCAAACTGGACGCAGCAGGAGCAGCAAAATCGCGTCTGCGATTTTTTTATTTTTTTTTTTTATGTAAGAGGAAAAATGTAAATGGAAAAATCAGAGCTCAAAATAAAACTCAAGATTTGTACTTTTTTATGTTGTTTAATTTTCTTTTTCTTCGAATTGATATTATAAAACTGGTATCGAAAAGAGTATCTTTCAGGAACCGGTATCGAAGTGAAGGTATTGGTATTGTTACCGGAACCTAAAATTTTTGAGCAATACCCAGCCCTACAAGCGATAGGGATCACCGCGCCCTAGTCAAGATTGTGGGGAAAAAAAACATTCAAAAATGTGGGGAAGATTCACAAGGAGAGGACAGCTGCTGGAGTCAGTGCTTCAAGATCCACCACCAAGAGACGCTTGAAAGACATGGGTTTCAACTGCTGCATACCTCGTGTCAAGCCACTGTTGACCAAGAAACAGCGCGAAAAGCGTCTCAACTGGGCTAAGGAAAAAAAGAGCTGGACTGCTGCTGAGTGGTCCAAAATCATGTTTTCTGACCAAAGCAAATTTTGCATTTCCTTTGGAAATGGAGGTCCCAGAGTCTGAAGGAAGACAGGAGAGGCACAGGATCCACGTTGCCTGAAGTCTAGTGTAAAGTTTCCACCATCAGCGATGGTTTGGGGTGCCATGTCATCTGCTGGTGTCGGTCCACTCTGTTTCCTGAGATCCAGGGTCAATGCAGCCGTCTACCAGCAAGTTTTAGAGCACTTCATGCTTCCTGCTGCTGACCTGCTCTATGGAGATGGAGATTTCAGGTTCCAGCAGGACTTGGCGCCTGCACACAGCGCAAAATCTACCCGTGCCTGGTTTACGGACCATGGTATTTCTGTTGTAAATTGGCCAGCCAACTCCCCTGACCTTAGCCCCATAGAAAATCTGTGGGGTATTGTGAAAAGGAAGATGCAGAATGCCAGACCCAAAAACGCAGAAGAGTTGAAGGCCACTATCAGAGCAACCTGGGCTCTCATAACACCTGAGCAGTGCCAGAAACTCATCGACTCCATGCCACGCCGCATTAATGCAGTAATTGAGGCAAAAGGAGCTCCAACCAAGTATTGAGGATTGTACATGCTCATATTTTTCATTTTTATACTTTTCAGTTGGCCAACATTTCTAAAAATCCCTTTTTTGTATTAGCCTTAAGTAATATTCTAATTTTGTGACACACGGAATTTTGGATTTTCATTTGTTGCCACTTCAAATCATCAAAATTAAATGAAATAAACATTTGAATGCATCAGTCTGTGTGCAATGAATAAATGTAATGTACAAGTTACACCTTTTGAATGCAATTACTGAAATAAATCAAGTTTTTCAAAATATTCTAATTTACTGGCTTTTACCTGTACTTTTCTCATCACCGTATTTTTGCCCTTTTCTGAACTTTTTTCAATTTAATTTTGTTTTCTGTAATTTAATTTTAGGTTAATTCCTCAATTTTACAAGTTTTAATTTCACCTTATTTTATGCCCTACTTACTTTCATTCTGTAATAATTTGATAGTTTTTTTAGCTATGAGTTCTTAATTTCGCCTCTAACTTATCCTCATATTTCTTTATCTTATCTTTAACATTTTTGTATTGCAACATTAGAATAACCTGATTTTCTTAGCATTTAATCAAAAATGTCTCCTTGGGAAGTTGACAATTTCCTAGGACCTTGCCTTACACCAATCCTCTGGTGCCGACCTGGATAACTGGGGGGGAACCTACTCTAAGATACCGACATCGCAGTAAAATTAAATGCCTTCTGGTAGCACCTACAACCTTCCTCTTAGTGCTTAGAGAGAGCCTCACGTTCCTATGCGAGGCTCTTTTGTTCCACAGGTGGAAAAAAAAAACCCGAATTGATTTTCTGCTCCCCAAAAAGAAAAGTTATCTTTTATTTTAGGCTTAGTCTTAGACTTAGACAGTACTTTATCGATCCCTTGGGAAGACTCCCTCCAGAAATTAAGGTTACCAGCAGCTTACAGGGCAAAAAAATATTAAGTTAAATTAAATTAAAATTAAGCAACAAAAAAGTATTAAGTTAAATGAAATTAAAATTAAGCAAAATAAAAATACAAATAAATATAGAGTTCACATTTGATAGAAAAAAATTTAAAAAATACAAGTGTTGCTACTCCTTCCCTCTTCCCCGTCCCGTGTCGCCTCCAGTGAGGCGTTGTACAGTCTGATGGCGTGGGGGACAAAAGAGTTCTTTTTTTTTTTTTTTTTTTTTTTTTTTTCAAATTATACATAGATTTATTTCAGTTAGAAAAAAAGAGGATCAGAAGTACACTTTAAAGGCACTCATTATTAACTGGATAACAGGATTTATGCTGCAATCGTTAAGGTTGTCTGATCCTCAAGTTAAACTTTATACATAGAAAAAATCTCTAACTATACAATCTAACCAAATGCATACATCTTACGTACTTCTGAGTAAGATACTTATTTCCAGAAATGGTGAAAAACAGATTGACAAAAGAGTTCTTAAGTCTATTGGTCCGGCACTTGGGAAGCAGCAGTCTGTCACTGAACAGGCTCCTCTGTTTATATTCTTTAGTTTTATACTCATTTTAATGCTTTTGAAATTATTATTAATCTTTAATTTAGTTAGTTTTTTTGCTAGTTTACATTTATTTATTTGATTACTTTAGTTTGTTTGAGCTTATTTTCCAGTATTTGATTTCTAAATCTTTAAAGCTGTTAACAATCTGTTGTTTTGTAATTTAGTTTTTAAAATTTACTTTAAACTGTGCCGACAAAAGATTCATCTCATCATCTCAAAAAGATTTTTTCTTTTGATCCTCCTGCTGACCTCCAGGGACCTCGATGCCAGAAGTCCTCACTCCCTTAATCTTCTAAACGGGGTATTGAGGCTGGAAGACTGCTTCCTCCAGGTGGTACCTGACACTTCTGACAATCGCTGTCCTCAGAAAACATCAGTAAAGGAGAATCCTGCTTTGACAACGCCCAATTGTAGCGGGAAAATAAGTATTTGACTATTCATCCTAGTTAAATAAACGGAGATCGATGGATTTCACTCAGTTGGCACATTTATTCATATCTTTGCAAAGAGAGAACAGTTCATCATACAGCCCTTATGGCACAGCATTCTGCTCTGTTCTGATCTGGACAGCGTTCGTTCCCCCTTACTTACAACAATGGAAAAGTTGTCAGAGTCAAAACAAATTACAACACTTTAGTTAAACAGTAAAATTTTATGAATAAACCATGAGAAAGACTCTGGTTTGGTATGGGAAGAAACTATGTCTGGTCTACAAACACCATCCTGCAGAGAATTGTCTGGCCTTGAAGTTGAATCAGGCTGAGTGAAAACTTTTATAGTGAGTAAATAGGATAAAATAATATATAATAGAAGAGAGATCTACATTTTCTGACAACAGTTACTCTCAGGTTGCAGTTTGGCAAGCGACAGCTCAACACAAAATGGAAAAGGTTATAACTACAAGTGAGAAAAAAAGGAATAAAATTATCCGTTGTTAGAAACTGCAGGGCTTAAAGGAATAGTACACCCAAAACTGATATTTGAATATCAGCTGTCTGCTGATATTCAAATAATCGAGGTCTATGGTGCCCAAGACAGAAAGGTCCATAAAAGTCCACAAAAAACGTGTCAATATTTCTCCATACTTCTCGTCCAATGTATTCCAAGTGTCCTGAGTGGGTAGCATCCAGAATATACTCGAAATGAAGTCATTTAGAATGTTTTTAGAGCATAAACAGTAGTGTATAGGATTTCCTGAAAACGTGCGCCTGCGCGTTCACGACGCTACGGAAGCCGGCAGACCAAACCAGATGAAAGTGCGCATTCAGCGTCTGCTCTGCCGATAATGCAAGCGTAGAAGAAGAAATGTGCTGTTTACCTGTGCAAAGAAAGAAACAACGAAAGAAAAATGTCTGAGGGCTTCAGTGTTGAGGAAGAGCATGAGTTCTTTGCCGAGCTGAATGCGCACTTTCATCTGGTTTGGTCTGCCGCGGTTTCCGTAGACTCGTGAACCCGCTTTTAGGAAACCCTATACACTACTGTTTATGCTCTAAAAACATTCTAAATGACTTCGTTTCGAGTAAATTCTGGATGCTACCCACTCAGGACACTTGGAATACATTGGATAAGCAGTATGGAGGAATATTGACACGTTTTCTGTGGACTTTTATGGACCTTTCTGCCTTGGGCACCATAGACCTCCATTATTTGAATGTCAGCAGACAGCAAGAAGCCTCCCAGATCTCCAGATGCATTTGAGATATCAAAAAAGTACTCCAGAGTGTTGTTCAGCATGGGGGTGAGTAGAAAAGGAAGGCTAATCATGTTTTGGGTGTACTATTCCTTCAAAGTTCTCCGGCATAGTGGCAGATTTCCAGCTTGCATCAACTGTGGTTGTATTAGAAGAAATGGGATTGTGTATTGAAATGCATATTTTAAAACCATCAGAAAAGGTTTCTGCTCCAGATAGTTAACAAGCTAGCTGTTAACTGATGCAGGGCTGCCGATAGCACGGCTTGGTAGTGATCTGAAAAGGGGTCCCTATGTCCTCCAGCAGTCTAAGCCTATAGCAGCATAACTATAGAGATAGCTCTGGATAACCTGAGCCACTCTAACTATAAGCTTTATCAAAAAGGAAAGTTTTAAGCATTGCCTTAAGAGCAGACATGGTGTCTCCCTCCGAGGCTAAAACTGGTAGTTGGTTCCACAGGAGAGAAGCCTGATAACTAAAAGATTTGTATCCCATTCTATTTTTAGAAGTTCTAGGAACCACTAGTAAACCTGCAGACTGACAGGTAAGTGCTCTGTTAGGAACATAGAGAATGATCTGATATAAGATCTAGTTTGACCATTGAATGCTTTATATGTGAGGAGAATTCAATTCACAATTCACTGAAATCCTTTCACAGCTCTAAAGTAACGGTTCAGAGGTTAATCTCTAACTATATTGAGAAAAAAAATCTCTAAATCTATATTCTACTAAATTCCTATGAACATATTGCAGCTCAAAAGGTGATGTGATCAATTGACTCAAAATCGTTGTTGGACGATAGCATTCCACAAGGGTAAAAAGGTGACACCTTTCATTTTTGCATATTAAAGGGGAACTTTGTTTTTTTTACATTGGGCCCTTGATTTTACGTTATCACATCATGTTCTAGGCGAATCACTTTCCCCCAGACAACCGCGGTTATATTTTTTATATTCATATTTTTTAAAAACAGCGTGTATGACGTCACCGGCTACCGTTCATTCATCCTGTCCTCTTAACTGCTGCTAGTTTTACTCACATGCCTGGAAGATGTCTAGTGCTACTACCACAGATGATCTTGCTCTCGAAATGGAATTGAATGATTCAGATTAGCTCGCCGAATGAATAGAAGGGGTAGAGCGTAGCCGCCTGGGGCCCGGGCTTCCTGTTACGACTCCAGTCCGGCGCGCAGACGATGTCATACACGCACTGCTTTGTTTTATAAATATAAAAAATAAAACCGTGGATGTCTGGGAGACAGTGATTCGCCTACATGTTATGAATACTGGCGTACCATAAATAATAAATTATGAACAGTTTAGTTTGTGCTTCAAGTCATTGCCCATAGGAAGACGTTACCTGGATATAACCTAAAGGAATATCTTCAGAACGGCTCCAAATGAGACAAAACTCATATACATGAGTAGAACATGATGTAATAACGTAAAATCAAGGGCCCAATGTAAAAACAAAACAAAAAACTGAAGTTTCCCTTTAAGTGTCTTTAATCTTTTTATTTAATTTAAAAACTACAACTACAACTACTACAACAATCAGACACCTGAACCTGGATTAGATTATTCCAAGCTAACAGTGGAGAAATTTCATTAGAATATTTTTGGAAATCTGCTCAACCTCTGACACATTGAGCTGGGGTCTGTCTCTTCCAGGCAGAGGTGTACAGAAAACGCTGCTGAGTTTAGGGTGTCTCATTGATTCCTCATTTTCCAGACAGTCACTGTGGTGTTGGATGTAAATGCTTTACTTTCCTTAATAATTGTTTGTGGGGAAATACATTTAGGCCAAAATGAATGAAGATTCAGGTTGCTTGATAGGATCCACTGGCTCCTCAACCTCAAGGAGAGAGTTTGGTGCTTTTATGTGAGGTGTCCTTTATTAAACCACCAATAGAACGCCTTTTTGCTGTGTTTGTGTTTCCAGACCGCCTGCAGGATTATGTTGGAAAAGAGGAGGATTTCTCTGACCATCAGCTCTGTGGACAGGGGAGGAAATCCAGTTTGGACCAAGAGGAATCTGAACATCCGCAGATAAAAGAAGAGCATCAAAAGCCAGAACATCCCTGTATAAAAGAGGAAACCATGGAGCTCCCCATAAGTGAGCAAAAAGAACAGCTTGTTCTTAAGCAGACGATTAAAGATACAAGAGAGAATCCTTTCCCATGTTTGACATGTGGAGAAAACTTTCTTAAAAAAAAGCATTTAATGGTTCACATGAGAACTCACAAAGGTGAGAAGTTTTTTTCCTGTACCATTTGTAACAAGAATTTTACTCAAAAAAATCTTGACTTCTCACATGAGAATTCACACAGGTGAGAAGCCTTTTGAATGTCTGTCCTGTGGAAAAAGCTTCACCTCTAAGTCTGAACTTAATAAACACATCAGAATTCACACAGGTGAGAAGCCTTTTGAATGTCTGTCCTGTGGAAAAAGCTTCACTCAGAAATCACATCTTGATACACACATCAGATCTCACACAGGTGAGAAGCCTTTTGAATGTCTGTCCTGTGGAAAAAGCTTCACTCATAAATCTAGTCTTGATACACACATGAGATTTCACACAGGTGAAAAGCCTTTTGAATGTCTGTCCTGTGGAAAAAGCTTCACTCATAAATCTAATCTTGATACACACATGAGATTTCACACAGGTGAAAAGCCTTTTGAATGTCTGTCCTGTGGAAAAAGCTTCACTCAGAAATCTAATCTTGATACACACATGAGATTTCACACAGGTGAAAAGCCTTTTGAATGTCTGTCCTGTGGAAAAAGCTTCACTCAGAAATCTAATCTTGATACACACATGAGATTTCACACAGGTGAAAAGCCTTTTGAATGTCTGTCCTGTGGAAAAAGCTTCACTCAGAAATCTAATCTTGATACACACATGAGAATTCACACAGGTGAAAAGCCTTTTGAATGTCTGTCCTGTGGAAAAAGCTTCACTCAGAAATCTAATCTTGATAGACACATGAGATTTCACACAGGTGAGAAGCCTTTTGAATGTCTGTCCTGTGGAAAAAGCTTCACTCAGAAATCTAATCTTGATACACACATGAGAATTCACACAGGTGAAAAGCCTTTTGAATGTCTGTCCTGTGGAAAAAGCTTCACTCAGAAATCTAATCTTGATACACACATGAGAATTCACACAGGTGAGAAGCCTTTTGAATGTCTGTCCTGTGGAAAAAGCTTCACTACGACATCACAGCTTAATACACACATCAGATCTCACACTGGTGAGAAGCCTTTTTCCTGTACCATTTGTAACAATAAATTTACTCAAAAGGGTAGTTTGACTTCTCACATGAGAATTCACACAGGTGTGAAGCCTTTTGAATAAGTCACTGCAGTTGGATGCCACAGGAATGAACAGTAGAGGTGTTTACCATGTTTGACTGGTGATAAAATGTCCATCTAGAAACTCCTTCACCTCATTACATGAGAAACTCACGGGTTTATGTCTTTTTTGAGGCAAGTTTTGAGATTAATTAACAACTCTGTTTACATAGAAACTAGAACTAATAAGGTGTTATATAGTAAATCTGGTAAATACTCAGGTCCTGGGTGAATATTTGGAAGTGAACATTTGAAAGTTAATTATATTGGACCTGAGTAAATTAGAATTAAATGGCCAGAAAATGTTGAAATTTATGATTTCTTATTTTTTTCTGTAATGAGGGGAAAAAACATGATAAAGTGAAACAACAACATATTAGTTACAGATGAAGCAAGTCTGCTGTCCATAGAACAAGCAATTGATAAGTTTAAATTGTAAATATAAAATCAAGGCAGACCCATACTGTGCAATGTTGGCATGGTGTTGCACATCTTTTTCTGAATGAATTTATTAAGAAAAAAAACCCTCCAGTTTTAGTTTTTGCTTCAAATTTTAGTTGAATGATAAGCTATCTGCTGGATATATTCCAGAAACAGACTTTTATTCAGATGAAAATATCCTCAGATGAAAATAAAAGCAAAGCTAAGACAGATTTAATGAGCTTTGCTCAGTTTTGCTTTTGTTTTTGGAGGATTTTCTAAGAGATCAGCTGCAAATGATCAGAGTTTAGCTAATTCAGTGTCTTGTTGGCTTTCATTAGCAATGCATCAATCAGCCCTGCTACGTGTGTTGTTGAAACCAGGCCCACCAAAACTCCAACTGTTTTAGCCACAGTGTTAGAGCTATGGTCAATAGATATTAGAATGAAGTAGATCATCTATAGAGGAGTCTCAGATGAAGATTTGGGACATATAGAAGTGTGTGTCAGTCTCAGAGTTAGTCAGCTACAAGCTAATTAATGTTGCAAAGTAGCTCCAGCCACCTTGAAAGGGGGTGCTGGGATTATGGGGTTAAACTACGGGACATCAAAGAACTCAGTTTAGAGGCTGGAGTCTGTAGTTCAGGTAAATTGAAGTCCTAAAATGATGAAACATGTTTGTTTAAAAAGATAAACTAGATTGATGATGTTGCTGTTATTTTTACTGATCAGTTTGAACCTGCTTTAACTCGGTAAAAAGCCTTTGTCTTAATAATGTATTAAAGAAATCTGACTCTCCTCTAGAAGTGTGAAGTTTCTGCTTTTTAAAGATTTTTTGAAAGTATAATTTTCCTTTGAACTAATTCTAATAGTTTTGTTCTTGATTCTGTAGATGTTCTATTTACCTGCTATGATTGAAAGTAACTATCACCTATTTTATACAACTGATTTTATGGATTATATTCTGCTGTGGATGTTTTTAATTATTGTAATCACTTCTAAATTGATGAACGAGCAGCAATAAAAACCTCATGGATTGTAAAAATGTGCTTCTTTATATTGTTTCATTAAATTACAATCTTTTTCCATGTTTTCTCTGATATTTTCAGCCAAACTAAAGCTGTAAAATAAATAGTTTAATGGCATTCACCTTCTGTCTTCTCCAGTCTTTCCTGTTGCTCCTCCGTCAGCATTAATCTGTTTGCTTTTTAGAGCCTGAGTTCAAATCTGGCCATTGGATAAATCCTCCTTTGCTTGTTGGAGAACTTAGATCAGGAAATAATGTAGGTACGTATTCTGGCCCAGTTGGTTTGGCACCTGATAAAACAAGTGTTTCAGTTGCTATAACTGTGTGTGTCCAGAGCCGCTACAACCAAGCAACTAGAGGAATGAAGGATCTAACTATGGCTGTGTTCACAATGCAGCCTGAAGGGAACCTAATCTGATTTTTGTTTTTTTTATTGCCAATATGTAATCTGTACCTGATGTTTTCATGACAGTCTGAACATTAAAAATCTGATTTTGCAACAATAGTTCTGGACCATTTATAGAAAAAGTGACAATGTTAGAGGTTTTTGATGAACAACTTGTACAACACAATTTGTGTAGTTGTACACAAAATTGAAAAATAACTACCTGTTTATTTCTATTATTCTACAATTACAAACTTATAATGTAACTCTCACTGCAACTTCAAACTCACCTTCATAGCAAGAATCCTCACGCTGCAGCTTTTTCCTGACAGCGTGAGCAGGTTAATATCTGTGCATACAGCGCCGTAATTATTACCAATCACATGTGGTCCCTAGGAGGTAAAACTAAAATGCAAGTCTTAAGAAACCTCACCATTAAACCTCAATTTTTCTTTCTGCTGTTTTTCTATATGAAAGCAATCTGAAGAGTTCTCAGCCTCCTGGATCCAACAAGCCCTGTAGCAAATGAAGGTCCCCTGAACTTTGACTAGAAAGAAGTTATCTAATTGAGATTTTAATTCCTCAGGTTGAAGCTGCTCCTCAGATGATATAATTGATTTCCTACATAATTGTTGATATAAATCAGTTGTGGTTGTTTTTTTGCCTCAATTTTATAAACCAGTTTACTAATTCTGACTGCAACTTTCTTAGCACTAAATTTGAGCTATTCCTATTACCTCAAAGGTGAAAGTTCCATCCATGAAATATTCTTAATGAGGTTACTAATTTCTGTGCAGAAATCCCTATTATGCCAGAGGTTAGTTCAATTACCAAATAAAGGATGATGGTGATTTACATTTAGTCAAAGAGAGAACAAAAGTAACAGCAATGATCAGTTAAAGGGGATGGTGATATTTTACCACACAATATTATAAATCATGTAAGGAATCAACCAATAGTCTACTTGAGGAATTTAATCAGGTGTTTTGTCTCAGATGCCTTGATCTCCAACAATCAGATTAAAACTGGAGAATAAAAATATCCTCAATGAGAGGATGCTGCCATTCAGTGGGAAAACGATCATTGAATCCATCTGGAGCTACAATAATCTTCTCTCCAATGAGAACCTGTTCAGTGAAGTATTTAAGCTTCCACTGCTCTATTTCCTTTAGGTTGAATTTGTTATTTGTTAAACACAGTCCTTAGAAATATGAATTGGCTACAATATAATGATTATTTTTGAAGTCTTACTCTTTTTTTTATAAAATCCTTGTACATTTAAAACACAAATAATACGAATACAACAAAAAAAGAACATAATTACTTATAAAAAAATCCCTGCTATATAGATCCTTTCTATAACAACCATTATGCTTTATTAAGACTTAGACAAACATCAATGCCATTTTCTATGCACAGAGTTTATACAAAATTTAATTTGGGAAGTCCAGGCTCTGTATCACAGGTGGTTTGTGCGGTAAATGTGCTTGAACTCAAGCGGAGTTAATTCTTTACACCGCTCATTCTGGGCTATCATGGAAAGGTTTTATGAGTCTTAAGATCTATGAGAAAAACAGAACACATAACTGTTATGTTGTTCCTGCTTTTTACTTACTGTGATTGGGGTAAAAAAGGTTTTACAAAAAAGTTGGATTTCTAACCCTGAATCAGAAGCATAGAAGTGGCTGCAGTACCCTGAGGCAATGCCTTCACTATAAACCCCCTTAACTCTCCTCACCTTCCTCGTCCCCAGAAACCTGCACTGGATGAAAGTGTGGCGATACTCAGCTCTAAACTCTGAAAATAATTTTCCCCAGTCAAGAACACCTACAATTTCAATAGGTTTTAAAGTATGTATATAATCCAAATCCTACGTCTCCTGAATAATCTGTATAAGCTTTGATACAGCTCTGTAAGACTTATCCAAAAAGGCTATTTTTTAGAAATTCTCGGAACCACTAGTAAATCTGCAGGTGGAGAGCAAAGTGCTCTGTTAGGCACTTTCCTCTGGTTTGGTATGCCGGCTTCTGTAGACTTGTGAACGCGCAGGCGCGCGCTTTCAGGAAATCCTATACACTACTGTTTATGCTCTAAAAACATTCTAAATGACTTCGTTTCGAGTAAATTCTGGATGCTACCCACTCAGGACACTTGGAATACATTGGACGAGCAGTATGGAGGAATATTGACACGTTTTTTGTGGACTTTTATGGACCTTTCTGTCTCGGGCACCATAGACCTCCATTATTTGAATGTCATCAGACAGCAAGAAGCCTCCCAGATCTCCAGATGCATTTGAGATATCAAAAAAGTACTCCAGAGTGTTGTTCAGCATGGGGGTGAGTAGAAAATGAAGGCTAATCATGTTTTGGGTGTACTATTCCTTTAAACATGAGGAAGATTTGTCATTAATTGAACAAGTTAAAATCGATCAGATAGATATGATTTAAACCAGTCCAGTGCTGTTCCTTTAATTCCAACAAAATATTCAAGTCTTTCTAATAGAATATTATGGTCAACCGTATCAAATGCAGCACTGAGATCCAACAGGACGAGCACAGATACAAGTCCATCATCTGAGGCCATGAAAATATCATTACCATTCTTCACCAGAGCTGTTTCAGTGCTACGATGAACTCTAAAGCCAGACCAAAACTCTTGAAAAAGTTCATCATGGTATAAGGGATTGCACACTTGTTTGGCAACTACTTTCTCCAGAATGTTAGATAAGAAAGGAAGATTGGAAATAGGTCTATAATTGACCAAGTTATTAGGGTCAAGAGACGGTTTCTTAAGCAAAGTTTTAATACAGCTACCTTAAAAGCCTTTGGTACATATCCCTGTAACACAGATAAATTAATCACATCTAAAATGGAGGAGGATATCAAAGGGAATACCTCCTTACATAACCTGGTTGGAACTGGATCTAACATACAAGTTGAAGGCTTAGATGAAGACAATAGTTTTGCTAACTCTAAAAGTTCAACTGGATCAAAGCAGTCTAAACCTCGTTTAGATTCCATGACTACCTCAGATGCTGCCCCACCCTCCAGAGACAAACCAATCGCAGATAGAGGAGTGATAATGATCTTATTTTTAATAAGATCAATCTTATTTATAAAGATTCCAATAAAATCATTACTGCGAAGAGCCGGTGGAATGGACGGTTCAACTAAGCTATGGTTCTGGGTGAGTTTGGCAACTGAATTAAAAAGAAAGCTAAGATTATTCTTATTCGCTATTAATGAGGAGAAATATGCTGTTCTTGCTTTACAAAGGGTGCTCATATACAGCAGTAAACTAAGGACTAGGTAGGATTCCCGTAGGCCTGTGGAGCGATATATTTCCACTCCAGTTTCCTAGCATTTTGCTTCAAAGTGTGCAGCTCTGCATTAAACCAAGGAGCCAGCTTTCTATTTTTAACAGTTTTCAGTTTCAAAGGAGCTGCATTGTCTGAGGCAGTATGCAGAGAACTAGCAACCCCACCAACAAAACCATCAACCTTTGAAGGGGAATAAACTAAGCTTTTGCACTCTGCAGCACTGCTCAGTGACACAGAGGAGAAAGAAAGTGAAACAGATTCTTTTAAAATTTATAACTGCACCTTCTGATAATGATCTGCTAAACTGAACTTTGTTCTGGGGGAGGAGAACTCTGTTAAAGTAATCCTGAAGGTTATTAAAAAGCGGTCAGAGAGGACAAGGTTGTGAGGAAATACTGTTATTTCTTCACATTCTATGCCATATGTCAGCACAAGATCCAAAGTATGAAGATGAGAGTGTGGGACTATTCACATTTTGAACGAAGCCAATAGTGTCTAAGATAGCATTAAAGGCTGCTCTTAAGCTATCGCCTTCAATGTCAGCACTGATGTTAAAATCTCCCACTATGATGACCCTGTCAGTATTTAATACCAAATCAGAAAGGAACTCTGAAAATTCATCTAAAAATTCTGAGTAAGGACCTGATGAATGATGCAAAGTTACAAAAAGAAGCGGTTTTCTTGCTTTGCAATTTGGATGAGGGAAATTAAGTGTTAAATGTTCAAAAGAGTTGTAAGTATTAACTACCTTGGGAGTAATCAGTAAGTCAGACTGAAATATTGTTGCTAATCCTCCTCCTCGCCCAGAACTTCTGGGTATGTGAAAATTTAAATAGCTTGAAGAAGTGTCCTCATTTATACTACACATAATCCTCCTGCTGCAGCCACGTTTCTGTGAGGCAACATAAGTCAATGTGATTATCACAAATAAAGTCATTAACTAGCAGAGTTTTAGAGGGAAGAGATCTTATGTTAAACAGACCACATTTAAAGGAGTTATTTTGATTTTAATGAGATTATGATTTACTCCTTTGGGAATATTTGGTAATTTATTAGATTTTGGTCGTGGGCAAGACACTGTCTGGATGGAGTAAAGAGTGGGTAACAGTAGAGAAGCTGCAGAGATGTGTGTTAAACTACAAATCTGCTTCCTGGTCTGCACCCTGGCAACAGTATAACTGCTTCTTAAACCAAACAAGGATCCTTTAAATTGTTCATCTTATCGTCCTATATCATCGTTAAATGTAGATTTTAAAATGTTGCCTAAATTGCTTGCTATTCGACTGGAGCAGCATTTACCATCACTGATAGCCCCTGCTCAAACTGGACTCATTAAGGGTAGGCACGGCTTATTCAACTTGCTTGGTTTTTTAAACATATTGCATACACAGTCTACAGCAACTCCAGAAATAGCTTTGTCACTTGACACCGAGAAGGCGTTTGACAGAGTGGAGGGGGACTACTTGTTTTATATTCTCAATGTGGGAGTAAAAGTAACCCACCCTTACTTTACTTACAAAAAAAATGTTTGCTGCTTTGGACAAACTTATTGCGACGTTTATTTGGAATGGTAAATCTGCACGTACACATAAAGATTTTATGCAAAGACTCAGGCCATTAGGTGGACTGGCCTTGCCATTGTTGGGAGCTGGGGAGGATTCCATCCTTCTCCAGCAGAGTCCGCTGTGGATCCTCTGAGGGAGCCTCCTGCGCAGCTGCAGCTCGTCAACATCATCAGAGGATCCTACATAAGCTGTCTTCAGACCTTGCCTCAACGCCGCAGTGTTGTTCCAGTTGG